ATTGTGCATTGTTGTTGAAGCAGATTTGACAGTTTTAGGTGTTGGCGGTTGAGCTAATTCATTTTCATTTTGGATTAATCTTTCTGATTACTTTGATGTGTGAAGTTTAGCTGTACGACATTTCCTAAAGAAACTTTCTTTTTCATGCATATGACATAAAAAAACCAAAGCAGCGCAAAGTAAACCCAAAAGTAGAACCTGGAACGTACTCTCTGGGTAAACTGGGTCAACCCCCAGATATCCGATCCTCGGAGCCCCAGAACGTGTTTTGTTGTTGGACTTTTCATTCCTGGTGAAATCCCACATCTTTCAAACACCACAGAGCTCTTTATCTGTAAATCTGTAATATCCCAGATCAAACCGGCACCCTAATGAAGTCTCCTGGGTTTTCTTACACTGTAGGAAGATCCTCCAGAGACTCAGCAGGACTTAACCCTCTGAACTCCAGGCAGCAGTTCTCTTTATTGGCTCCTGGCTTCAGAGAGTTTTCAGTTTTTATTACAGAATTTGCTCAGTGCACGCAAACTATTTATTTTTGTACACGTTTAAGTGATTTTGATGGAATATCTCGATTTTTCGTGGCAGGTTGTGGACAGGAACAAACTCCAACAAAGGAACTTCCTGGGATGTTCTAAAGGCGGCTGGTAATCCAGGTGGAAATACATCAAAAGATAAAGAAAGTAAATCCAAAAATCCACAAAAATCAAAGGAGCAAAAAAAAAAAAAGAAAAAAGAAAACACAAGCTGAGACTGTTTAAACACTCTGAACTGACTGAAGAGAAGCAGGAGAAAGTAATCGGGTTCATCACGCAGGAGGGAAAAGAGGAACAAAGGCCAGAAGAAAAACCACACATGAGGAAAGGTATTATCAAAATAAAACAGGAAGTAACATGAAACCGACACACAATCCCTCGTCAGGCAGTTTCACAAACAGATTCCTTCTGTTTTACCGGTTTTTAGCCGATAAATCATGTTATTTTGGGTGATTTGTTCAAACTCACTAAATTTAGGCAGATTTGGGGTACATAGGGTTAAATAACTAATTTCTACAGTGTGGCATCAGTATTCTGTATTAAATTATGTGAATACTTTGCGTACTACAGGTAAACAGATGGCGAAAAGGTTCATTTATAATAAAAACACCTGATCTGTCAGGTACTGAACATACAAACAGAGCACAGAAATACAAACATGGACGAATATTCTATGATTTGGTTGTGAGTTTATCTTCCTGAGTGATTTCCGGCGGACAGAACACATGCACAGAAACTGTCAGAGACACACCGATGTTTCCACAGTGCAACGTCTTCATTTCCTCGCTGTGATGTCTCTGTAATCCTGCCTCCGGGGCTACAACCGCTGCCTTCCCTTTCTATTCATTACTGCCATCAGAGCGGATTTCCCGACTCTCTGTTTGCCTTTAATGAGCCACAGCTTGCTGCTGACCTGGAAGACAGACGGACTCGTCTAAAACTGGAACCGGGAGAATCTGAGGAGCACCTTGTTGTGCCAGACGTGAGATTACTTCTACATATGAAAAATGACGACACTGTGAAATGTTTCTACGCTGATGCGGCCGAACGTCTGAACAGCAGCTTCCCTGTTTAGCACGAGGCCACTAAAGATGAATGTGACGAACACGTTCACTCCCGGAAGAACTCACGATACCTCCGTGTTTTCTATGTAGTAAAAAACTGGGATCACGAGAATAGAAATACAACTAATCATTTTTGAATATTTTCAACATGTACACCAACGACTGTTTATTGTAGATTTCAAATATCCCAAAAACTAACATCTGATGTCATTCCTCACCAGGCAGTTTCACCACGAGCCATTCCTCCTTAGGCCATTTAACTACCATTAACACCTCAATTCATCCCTCACCAGGCAGTTTCACCACCTTTACTACCTGGAATAAATCATCCCCTCGTGGTTTTGCCAATATTAAAGCCGTAAGTCATCCCTCCCCAGACAGTTTCACCGTCATACAGGGCACTTTCACCACCATTAAGACGTTGAGAAAATCCTCCCTAGGCCATTATAGCACCATTAGCACCTTAAATACTCCACCCCAAGCAGTTTTAGCAGCACCCAAACCTTACATTATTCCTCACCAGACAGTTTTGCCAACATCAAGACCTTGAATAATCCATCCCTGGACAGTTTTACTACCACCAAGACCTTGAATCATCCCTCACCGGGTAGTTTCACCACCATGACCACCCAGAATAATTCATCCCATAGTGGTTTTGCCCATATTCGAACCATAGGTCATCTCTCCCACGACAGTTTCATCGCCATACAGAACTTGAGTCATCTATCACCAGGCAGTTTTATCATCATTAACACATTGAGAAAATCCTCTCTAGACCAGTTTACCACCACTAACACCTCAAATAATCCAACTTCAGGCAGTTTTAACCCCATAAAGAGCTTAAATCATCCATGCCTAGACAGTTTAACCACCACCAAGACCTTGAATCATCCTTCACTGGGCAGTTTTACCACCATTAACACCTTTAATACTCCACCAGGCAGTTTTGTCACCATCAAGACCTTAATCCAGCCATCCCTAGACAGTTTCACCTCCATTCACATCTTAATTCTTCCCTCTACGAGCAGTTTACCTCCATTAACATTGAGTCTTCCATCAGAGGCAGATTCAGCATCATTAGCACATCAAATTGTCTACACAGTTTCTCAACCATCCGTCCTCGACTCATACATCCTCAGACAGCTTCATCCCCGTTAACATCTTGAGTTACTGCTCCCAGGCCAGTTTAACAACCATTAAAACCTCCAGTTTAACAAAACTGCCCAGTTCCTCGGAATAAAAGAAAAAATGTTGGATGCCTTCGGATGCATAACAGATTTTTTCCCTCCACAGGCAGTTTCCAGGCATCTTGAGTGCATTTTGGGGGTGAAGAATAAAACCCCGGGACGCCCCACCAGGCAGGTAGAGGTGAGGAAGCCTCTTGGATGAAGGTGAAACAACTTCCAGAACCAAAGGTGAAGTCTGGTCGTCTATGTTCTACACAAGGAGAAATGTTTTGTGGAGTTCGATCGCGACGGCATCAAAGCTCCTGTCAAGACTGTTAGTAGGTCGCCATTTATTTATCTCTTGACTAAACAAACTGCTTCTGTATTTTTAGGTTGCAGCTAATCGCTGCTTTCAGCCAACACACACACACACATACACACACACACACACACACACACAGGAGTTATATAAGAAGGATCAAAAATAGAAAAGCTTTCTGAGCGATTACGAGAAATGAGCTCCTTTTGTCAACATATGGAGCAAAGATTTGGAGTTTCTGATACACTCAGATGGATTCAGTGATTCAACTTTAAGAAAACGCTTTAAACAACCATCAAAAATCTGTTTTGTGTTCAGGACAGATTGTGTTTCCTCATCTAGCGGACAGACGCACGACATTTTAGGATGAAAAACACATTTGAGTTGGAGGTTTTTGTCATTTTGGACACATTTTGAGCACATGTGGTTCACTTTTGTGGCATCTTGGACTATGTCTGAGTGATTCCAGGCCATTTTGGATGAATTTTATGAATTATTATTATTATTTTACACACAGATTTGAGTAACTATGGATCATTTTTTACAACTTTGGTCAACTTTTGTGCCATTGTGAGTCATTTCTGAGTAATTTTCTACAATCATGAAGTCATTTTGGATCAATTTTGACAGACTTTTGTGTAAAATAACATCCAGCGTACTGGTGCGTTTGCATATTTTCAGTTAAAGGCCCATAAAGTGGTGAAATTTCACACTGTTCTGATAAAAACTGGACCCAGATCAGTTCTACATCCAACCAGATGTCGTAACCAGGAGACTAAATCTGTTTCTTGTACCAAAATGACACAAACAAGACTCAAAACAACAGAAAGGAGACAAAACTTTTAGAAAGTACCATGAAATGAGACACAAAAAGGCAAAAACAAGACAGAAAACGATGAAAAAAGCACAAAACGAAACAACGGAAATAAGGCGAACGATAAAAAACAAGAAAACTTTGATTAAAAATGACAAAAAGTATCTTAAAAATGAGACACACGAGAAATGAAAAGACAAAAAAATGCGACAAACGACACAAGCGAGATAAAAATAAATTACAAAATTACAAAAATTTAAACAAAATCTGTTTTACATCCATCCAGGTGTCACAGTCTGAACACTGGATCTGTTTTTGATTCCAAAATGACACAAATACGACAATTTTTTTGTTCATTTTTGTCTCGCTAAATAAAAATAATAATAATAATAATAACAATAATAATAATAATAATAAACATGGAAATATAAAGACAAATAAATAAAATACATTTTATTATTTATTTATTTATTTAATTATTTTTTATTTATTTATTGCATTATTTTATTATTATTATTATTATTATTGCTACTACTACTACTACTACTAATAATAATAATATTCTTAGTTATGCATTTAAAACAAATACTAAAAAAATGCAAAAAATTAGAAAATAAACAAAAAATAACAAAAATAAATACAAATGAATAAATAAATAATAATTTTCTTTTTTTTTATTTGTCTTTATATTTCTACTGTTATTCCCCTTTTCTTTTATGGATTCATTTTTGATTAATATTGCTTTATACTGCCACATTATTAAGTTATCATTTTTATTTATTCTTCTTTTTATTTCCGCTTTTATTTTTTTTTATTCTTTTATAGATTTTTTTTGGTCATTTGGCACTCTCACTGCTCCATAAATATGGTCACAGTCTAAGAAAATAAACAGAAAAGTTAAAAGGTGATATAAATAATAAAATAACAATAAAATAAAAACTCTATTAAAAGTGCAAAAGAGCGCTTGTTTCAATTCGCTGAAAATCCCCAAAAAATTTACAGTTTCTCGCTCTGATAAACGGCGTAATTACGGTGGTTTCTTTAAATGTAATGTTTTGGGAGTTTTGCGTCTCCCTGGAAACGTAAACAGGAAGCGGTGCTCACGGCTGCTGCTGTGGTCGTCCACCAGGATGATCTCCTTGAGCAGGTGGGCCGGCGTCCTCTGGATGGCCGTGTGGACGGAGCGCAGCAGCACCGACAGCGCCTCGTTGACGAAGATGAAGACGACGCTGAGCTGAGGCAGGTCGGACGAGTACGACATGTTCCTGCACCTGGAGGGAAAAAGAAAAGAAAAGAAAAGAAAAGTTTGGATTCATGACGTCGTCACGCGTCGTCTGATCAGCAGTTTGAGTTCAGACAACATATGATTAATTCACACTTGTTTAATTACAAATAAATGATGTTTTTAAGTCAATCGTTCACAAAAGATTCTATTATTTTGAAAGGTTTTCTTGTCTTTTGTGCTTAATTGCTATATTTAAGAAGTTTTCAAGTTAATCAACTTGTTTCTACAAAAAATATATATTTT